ATTGTTCTATAAAGTATCCAATGATAAATGGTGTTGGTTGAGATTTGATTTGGCTGACAGACCTCACAATTTTATATATCATTAAAAAAGACTTTTATTTTTTTACTTTATGTTTTATAGATCTCTCCCACTCGTAACCTCCAGGCATAAACCTACAGGGTGCAACTGACCCTTTATTAAAGAGACGATCGAGACAGAAAAATCGGACACATCATGAGAAGAGCTGTATATTTTCGTCCGGACTTCTTGTCACCTGCCCACTATCCCGGAATCCAAAGGTTCGAGCACGGAATTAGGCTGGATTGTATCTTCGGGTCTTTCAACTCGATTCATGTAAGTGATGCATGTCCGAGGGACAAGAAACAAAAAAAGGTATTTAGTTAGTTGATCGAGAAAATAAATCGAGGCTACGAGACTATTGACGTTAAAAATCCCTCCATAGGTTGAAATTGAAAATTTTGGCTATCCTGACTACCCTGACAAAAGTATTCAGAAGTCGTTAAATTTTTATTCAGAACCTGTACCATGCTCGTACTTTCGTACACACAAATCATCTTTTTTCATAAAATTAACCTTAAAAAAGAAATGGTAAGCCAGTCAAGACATATTCTGTTCTCGGACGGGAATATTTTATGTTCCTACAAATAGTAAATTTGTTAGCTTCAGGCCTAATGCACTCGAACTGACGAGACAGCCGAACATAATTTATCAAACGGGAGTAAGAATGACTTGCGGCACAATGTCGACATTGTGGTACTGAAAAGTTTGAAACAACCATCTACTTGTTTGTCACTAGTGTTTTAAAAAGAAATAAACAGCATGGACCATAAAACTTAAAGTTGATTGAATTATAAAAAAGAGAAACAGTCACGAGCGTCACATCAAATATAGTATAAGTTGTATGTCATTAGTCAAAACGAAAAAAAAAACAGTACCGAATACTGAAATGATAGATTACATTGTCTAGCATTAAAACACTACGCCACGCACTTACAAGATGCTGATAATGAGGACGGTTTTGATGACGAAGAAAATGAAGATGAAGATTAAGAGACTAATGATGATGATGAAGATGTTAGTGATGAAGACGATGTCAGTGATGAATAAGGTGTTAAGAAGATGCCGATGCTTCTGCTCGTGATGATGATGATGAAAATGAGCTGCTACCTATGATGACGTTAATTAAAAAAATGCTGCTGATTATGATGACGCTGCTGTTGATGCTGCTGATGATAATGCTGCAAATGATGATGATTATGCTGGTGATGATGTTGCTAATGTTGATGATCCTGAAGCTGCTGATGATGATAATAATAGAAATGTCATCTGAATGAGATCTGAAACAGAATGTGCATACTCTATTTTGTTGAAAACAACGAGCTGATTATCTAATCTTCTTTGATATTTATAACTAGATTTACTTTGAAATCGACAGGAAGAAACATAAATAACAAAATGATCTGGCATTACAAAATTTCTAATTGCAATATAACTGTTATTTTGACAAATGGAGGTTACTACAACTATGTCATTATCTCTTTTCAGGGCGACAAATTTCACCTGCAGAGCAACGAATTCCAAAAACTCTTGGTGATAGCTAGATAATTGCTATTTAGCATCATAAAGACATTATTTTAATTACGCCCTAAACCTGCAGACTTTAAAGCAATCCATCAAATGACAGTTTGAGATGTTTAATACATCAGCAATTGGCATGTGATTCAGAAATCTTTTTCAGTGTTTAAATAACAGACTCATATATTCGGTCACGTGGAGTTATACAATCTACAGACTTGTTTATTAGTAATAGTAGATACCCAGGGAGAATCACCCCATAGCACAGATCCAAAAACACACATGCCCTACCACATATAATAATATACCAGCACTATCAAGTAGAATTGTTATTGACTACAGCTCATCTAAAGTGCTGATGCATGTTTCGGATACAAAGTACCATATCATTGCGCAATGGTACAAAGCCTTGTGTTGCTTGATTCCATCCTAGGCTCATTGAATATGTACTATACAATTTCGAATTTTTGAATTTTTTTTATTTCAAATCTTATAAATATAGATGCATATAAAATACAAAGTGAGAATGTACCTAAATGCCGTAAAAACAGTTTTAAAAACGTTGATTTGTACAATTTTTTTTGCAGATTCGGGTTTATAAATCTCTATATTATTTTGAAGGTTATACTTGTTTTACAATCCGAGATTGATTAACAAATTTTCAAGTCCTTTGATCTTTTTTTCCAGTTGATCCAGCTGTAAATCAGTACGGAGAGTCCTAGAAAGATTTATATATATTTATAAAGAGGTTTTACCATGAACCTGCTGGAAAAAAGGATCTTCTGTGAACCTAACTTGTTATCCTTGTTAATATATGATTGTTTCTTTCTGTTTTTTCTGTCTTTGGTCAATAAAGACAGAAAAAAACAACGTCGATTTCTGTTTATTGTCGTTAACGATCGTGGCCTTCATCTGACCGAACAGACTTAAATCCCATACCAGAATCTTTAATATGCATTAGATCTACTGCTAAGTGAATAGCATCCAGAGAAGCCTTCACTTGGTTTCTCTTTTATTTTATTAATTCGAACTCATCTTAACCTGTTTCGGTGACAATGGGAGTTAACTTGCCAATATAAGACTTAAGTAAGTAAAATATTAAAATAGTGAGGACGTTGGTCTTCATATATAAAAAAAACTGTTTACTTTACTTTGAAATGGTAATATAAAAAACAAGCTAGGCCGGTAACCGGTTGTAAAAATATCACCTAATGTGACAGGTTTTTACGTAAAAGGAAGTAAAATTTGAGATTTGTGTCATGTTTAGGTATTACTATTATTTATTTTATTATTTTTACTTAAAGTACCGTTACACGTGTTGATATATTACAACAAATTGCAATTTATGTTTAAGGACGTATTTCTTGTCGTCCTGGCTGAAGCACGTGATTACAGACAATCCTACTTTAAGAGTATGACTAGAAATGGTCAGTCGTAGTAAGATATCCATATAAATTTAGTTTTGTTCCAAAGACGAAAACTAGTTTACTTAATTATGATGGAATCGTGGAGGAATATGCTGCATGCTTTTGAGCTATGCCACTACCAGTTCTTCAATACGGAATGCCAAGACTTGGTAGAAAGTTCTTGTAGAAAGGGGCACATTTTCCATTCTGAAGACGCAAAGTGGTGTGGCTCATCAAGAGTGTCCAGGAAACTAAAAAAAAAGTAGATACAGCACCAGCACCACAGTACAGAAGCATAGTCTTTTATTAAACAGTAAGCCGCCAAACTCCGCCCCTTTCCTTTTTCCTTTCTTCTTGCACTTTAGTATTCCCATTGCTTATTACCAATTAATTAGGCTCCTGCAGCCATTATCAGGTAATCGCTGCCTCGTCAGAGTCGTCAACGTAATGTTTATAGTAATCGTATTTTAATAGTTAAACACTATTCAAATAATGATTGGGTGTATATCATTTATAACGGATATATCCTGTTGCAAATTGCGCACCGATATCACTTTTTATAGACAAATATTACAAAAAACATGTTTGATTATTGCACATTTATTTCTACATTAGTATTATAGCATAGTGTGAATATCGTGTTAAAGTTCTATGTGTAGAAAGTGCAAGTTTTGTGTAGGTTGCAATATTTGAGGAGTGCAGGAGTTTCTATTATTTTATACCATTCTTACCTGGATTTTAAGGATTAAGGAATTGACATTGTTAATCCTGTTACTGGGCGATAATCAATGCAACGCTGGTGATATAGATGCTACATGATCCTCGAATGCAGAAGAAGAAGAAGGGAGAAAAGTCCCTCATAGCCTATCAGTTGAACATAGGGTAGAGAATAGTTTCATTTCAAAACTCTTGCCATTTCCTAACTAACGTTAAAGTTAAATAGTCACATTATTCTGTGATTCTTTATCGAGTGGAAGTATGGACCTTTGATTTCAAGTTATAGTTGAAACAGAACTTTAATATTCTAATATGAAATCTGGAATTTTTCAATAATAATAGCCTACTGATAGATTAATTGGTAAATAGTTTAACTACTAAAGCGAAAAAGAGCAGAGTTATTTCAGAATTTTATGACCTATTGAAAGAGTCTATAGATTAAAATGATTCCCTTGATAATTTTGTAGTCATTAACCCGTCTGGGTATAATAGTCTACCAAATAAACATTTCAATCAGAATTTTCTTTTTGTTTCAATGGTAGGTTAACTTTAGATCATTTGAACTAAAGAGCCAGACGAAACCAATCGCGTGTTCATCGAAATATTAAAATTGAACATTTATGTTCCTTAAAAAAATTGTCTCATTGTGGTATCGATTTCGACATACATCAACGGTTTGTTGAACCTTGATTCTCCGCATTAGGGATGTAGGTAAGAGAAACTGACATGAGTTAAGTGTGTTGTATTTCGGATGAAATAATAACATGATTTTGTCGTACACACTGTGAACGGAAATGGTAAAATTTATTTCTTTGCATTCGATTGTCCAGTTCGGAGCAGAAAGTAACCCTGCATTCTCAGCTGTTTTTCCACTTCCGGTTTGTATGGCTTTAAAACAAATCCTTGCTATTGTTTATTATAACGAACAGTTCCTTGGTATCGTTTATCATAACGAACAGTTCCGTGGTATTGTTCATTATAACGGACAGTTCCTTGGTATTGTTTATTATAACGAACAGTTCCTTGGTATTGTTTATTATAACGGACAGTTCCTTGGTATTGTTCATTATAACGGACAGTTCCTTGGTATTGTTTATTATAACGGACAGTTCCTTTGTATTGTTCATAATAACGAACAGTTCCTTACTATTGTTCATAATAACGAACAGTTTCTTGGTATTGTTCATTATAACGAACAGTTCCTTGGTATTGTTTATTGTAACGAACGGTTTCTTGGCATTGTTTATTATAACGAACGATTCCTTGGTATTGTTTATTATAACGAACGGATTGGTATTGTTTATTATAACGAACGGTTCCTTGGTATTGTTTATCGTATCGAACGGTTCCTTGGTATTGTTTATCGTAACGAACGGTTCCTTGGTATTGTTCATTATAACGAACAGTTCCTTGGTATTGTTTATTATAACGAACAGTTCCTTGGTATTGTTTATTATAACGAACAGTTCCTTGGTATTGTTTATTGTAACGAACGGTTCCTTGGTATTGTTCATTATAACGAACGGTTCCTGGTATTGTTCATTATAACGAACAGTTCCTTGGTATTGCTTATGGTAACGGACGGTTCCTTGGTATTGTTTATTATAATGAACGGTTTCTGGTATTGGTTATATTTTATAATAACGAACGGATTCTTGGTAAGGAATAAGTAGGTCTAGTGGTAATTACACTGTCCTTGAATAACCAATAATCCACATTGATCTTAATTAACCAAATCAGCATTTCTACGCTAACAATTCGTATAGTGAATGAATAGCCATATATCCATGATATATTATCGATTTCATAGTACTTCAGACAGAATTAATAAAATATATCAGAGGGCCATTCAACTGTTATTTTGACATTTTAGGCCTAATGAAGACCGACAGAACTATGCAAGGTGCAGGAGAAATTTACATGAAATATCACAGATTTACAATTTTTTTTTTTGGGGGGAGGGGGGG